TGGAAGGGGAAATATTTACTGTCACAGCTCCTATTAGGTTTCTCCAGTCCCAGGTCACCAATTTTTGTGCCTCTCTCAATTAATGTATCTAAAAAACGTGGGTATTTCACTACAAATCTGGAGCACAAAAGATATGACTCCCACTGAAGCCTGCTGGGAGGCTCGTGCCTTGGGAAGATGGATCTGGGTACCAAGCCGTAGAGGAATTGTCATCTCCTTTAGGCATGGCAGCTGATGGTTGTGTGCCCACAGGATGGGATGATGTTAAACAAGCACAAACACTGAAGTTGTGCATCTCTCCTGGGCATGGAGTCGTGCTGCAGTGGTGCAGAAGCTCCCTTTGCTCCCTCCTCTGTCTCTGCAGGTCGGACCAATGTGCTGCTGTGAATGTGTTCTCCGTGGTGAAGCCACCAGGAGTGCTTAGTGCTTTGGAGACATTTCTCCTTCTTTAGGGCTGTAGTCTGTGTGTCTGATAGTGTTGGTTTCATTGGAAAAGGAAAACCAATGGACAGATAATTGTCCAGATGGGATTTACACTTCTCATGTGTGCTGGAGATATCTCTTCTCCACAGAAGTTTTTCCCTAGACAAACTGGGGCATGACTGGGAAGTGTGGCATTTCTTACCCCTTTTAGTCACCAGGAAAGAAGTGGAAAGCAGGCTGTCACTGAAAAGTGTGATTCTGCCCCCCTCTAGTTTATTCCCAAGGGAATGGGGAAAGACTCATGCACAGACTGGTGAGCAGCCACTCCACTTCCCTGACAGCCTCCAAAACATCCCCTTTTTCCATGTTCCTCGTATAAATGACGTGCATCAGACCTGTGGCGCTTCCTCACATTCCTGTCCCCTTTCCTTGTGCCCAGCCCCACAGGGGATGAGTTTTGCTCCCTGGGTGGTTGTTCCAGGGCTGGTTTAAGCAATTTGGGAAGTGTAATTGAACTTGAGGCAAGAGAGGCAGCAGTGTGAGGTACCTGCTTGCTGTGGGACAGATGTGTCTGCAATACAGCCTGACTTATCTTCAAGTGAAACAGTAACTGCATCCCAGCCCTGTGCGAAGTCCCTCTGGGACTCTGCAAGGAGACGCTTCAAAGCAGTCCAGCCCAAGAACGTATCGGGAAAGGACATTGGGTTTCCAAATACTCCTTTTTTCACACCCTTTTTCAAGGCTTTGGAGAGGTGAACACCAGCTGGAAGGAACGCGAAGCGCAGTCTTGGTTCCTGACTCCCTCTGCTGGCCAGGGACAGCTGGGGATAACCCGGTCTCCTTAACACAGCCATGCTGAACAGCGAGGTGGATTTTTGGTACTTTCAGCCTTAGGAGTTTAAAATATACTTTAGATATGTCAGAACTCTTTGTATCAAATATCCAAAGATGTAGCTGTCAGCCAGTGATGCACTTTCAAGCCTGGAAGAAAAGGTAAAACCACCACTATCCTTCTAAGACTGTGCCTTGTTCTTGAAGCCCCTCTGTTTTTAATGGATGGAATGCAACGTGGGCACATGTGACTGTATTTTCGGTGAAGCAGTGTCTGGGGTGCTGCCCCGCTACCCAGGATGTTTTTGTGATGTTTTGTGAAAAGACCATTGTCATTTGTCATTCTCAGGGTTCTGCTGTTCCTTTTTTGTCCCTAGCACCCTGTCCTGGATGAGCCAATTGCAGAAGCTGTTTGCATTATTGCAGACACAGACAAATGGACGGTGCAAGTGGCCAGTAGCCAGAGGAGAATGATTGAGAATAAACTGGGAAAAGAAGTGTTAGTCTCCAGTCTCGTCTCCAACCTGCTTCATTCCACTCTTCAGCTTTACAAGCATAATTTATCTCCAAACTTTGTAAGTCTGAATGGCAATTGAGAGGGTGATGGGTTTAAAGCATCCTTTCACTTCACAAGTTAAAGAGGTGTAAGGTTCTGCCTAGTGTATGTATGCCACAATTTTAGGAGCCAGTGCATCCCCTGGTGTAGCCATTTGAGCTGCTCTGTAATCAAAACAGATGCTTTATTAATTCTGATTTAACATGCAATCAAAGGCTTCTGCTCAAAAGCAAGAGTCCTGCCAGTGGATATCTCACCTAGGCACAGCCACAGGCATATGGGGTCTGTGCTGTTCTGCTCTGAGGCTGGTGTGGTTTGGACAGAGTACTGTCTTCTCCCTGACACAGCTCCCTTTGCTTTCTAGTGTGTGATGCACCTGGAGGATCGGCTGCAGGAGCTCTACTTCAAAAGCAAGATGCTGTCTGAGTATCTCAAGGGCCAGATGAGAGTCCACGTCAAGGAGCTGGGCGTGGTGCTGGGGTATGGTCACAAACTTCTCCAGGCACTGCTGCCCTGGCTGTCCTGGTGCTTGCTCTAAGCACAGCAGAATGGATTCCTAAATGGGACTGGAACTCATAAATTACCTATGGCCGCAGGTTTCTCCTTGGCCAGTGCTCGATCCCAAGGATCCCCCAGCCTTTGTGTCTTCCCTCTGGGCAGGAAGATGGGCTCAGCACTGCCGAGCTTATCAGACTCCCTCCAGATCTGGTCAATCATCACTGAACTATGTGGGGCACCTGATTCCTCCAGGTTGACTTCCCCTACATGGCAGAAAACACCCTCTGGGTCATGTAAGGCACATAATAACCTCTCTGCGGGTGTGGGGCATAGGCAGAGGAGCTATTTAAGGGGTGTTTATAGTAAGGCTCTTAGTATCTTTTCATGCAGAGGAGGACAGGGTGAGCAGGAGGGTACATGGAGCACATGTGGTGCTGGAGCTGGGGGAGCAGCTGCAGCTGCCAGTACTTTAGCCAGTCCTCTGCTCCTGTCTCGTGTCCCCCAACTATTACTCCCTCTACTGTGAGGTTAGGAAGGAACTGGGTGTTTTTCCCCCCTCTGTTTCCTCACCAGGTTGTTGGCCCTTAGAAAAAAGGCACCAGGCAGGTAGGAGCTAAGGCAGGGCTGACAGCTCGTGAGCAGGCACATCTGGAGGGGTGTCAGGAGCAATTTGGCAGCTGCAGGGTGTAGCCCAGCTGGCAGTGCTGGAGAGGAGTGCAGTTGGCTTTGGTTCTACCTGAGGAATGTGCCCCTGCTCGGAGCTGGGAACACTCCTGGTCCAAGTACAAACACTGGGGCTCGAGCAGGCTGTGTGGGTACTGACACGTGTTCAGCTCAGCGACGTTTTGGCTGAGATTAAACGTGACTCTTCTGCTTCCTTTCAGGATTGAATCCAGCGACCTCCCCTTGCTGGCAGCTGTAGCAAGCACTCACTCTCCGTACGTTGCCCAGATCCTACTTTAAAATGCCAGAGGCCACAGACTTTGACTTTTTGCCTCTCTGGAAACAAAGTGGAAGACAACTTGTTCTGGCTCCTTTCTCTTTGCAGCAATTAAAACAAACTGCTTGTTGAGCTGCAGCACCTCCATATATGACTGCACAGTGTGCAAACAGTTGGAGACTTCTCCTCTCTCACTCAGCCGTTTATTAAAAAAGGATTAAAGAAAGGAAAAGAGAAAACTGAGTAAGCCCAAGGTTTCAGCCACAGGGAAACAAAGATTTTAGCAAAGCTGAAGATCTACATTTTTTAGCATTTTCTGCCACAATGGCTGATTGTGACTTACACTGGGGAGTGGAGGAAGAACTGCTCTGAGAAGCACATGATGCCATCACCCATTGCAAACTGAGCATGGGAATGCAGCAGCTGCCTTCAGCCTGGCTCCAGCTGATGAGGATCTCGTTAGCATCTGTAATTCTCAAGCTGCGATGATTTGTAAACAACTTCTACTTTTTCATGTCGTAGTCCAATTCTGGATACTTCCCAGAGGACGAATGGGGCAGGGGCTTGGTTTGTTTTGTACAAAGCTTATTAATGGCAGTCAGCTCCAGAATTTATTTATGATCTTTCTCCTGGGGAGAGGGAATAGCAGGGGCAGAGGGGGACAGGGAGGTGGGAGGAAGAGGCCAACAGACAAACTAGCGATGGAGATTCTTTCTTGGCTGGATGCTGTAACCAGTATTAAATCTTTATAATGTTTAAATGTTGCTTTATACTAAGTGATGCTTTTCTTCCACAGCGTAATCAAAATGTTAAAGACAAAAATAATTTAAAGAGAACGTTGGCTGAAATTTCCCCATGGGGTCCCCAGAATGACAAGACAATTACCTCTAACTTTTTTATGATCTATAATGTTCTTGCAACATCCTATTCTTTTTACAGCAGTCAGTCAGCTCTTGAAATAATGAACTAGAAATAATTGTACCAAAGCATTGGGGACAAAATGAGTAGACTATTACCCTTAATTGCTCAGGTAACTAATTGATATATTTTTTAAAACCATTCTACAAAAAAAGGAACATTGATTACTGCATAGTGTAGTAATATCCAAATTATTTTTGACAGATACACCCTTGCTGCGGATGACTCTAATCCCTTTTCTACTCACTCGTGTAATTACCAGCAGGAAATGTTGTTTATTTTATTCTCAGCATTTCTCTTTTACTCAGCCATCACTGGTTTGTCATTGTATATACAATAGTTGTACGAGTAGCTGATGGACCCAACCTGGTGTAAGTAATGTAAATAGACAGTGGGAGGTGGATTATGTTTTCAAAGGCTCTACTACCTCAGTTTAACTGGACACTTCATTCTAGGCTTTGGTTTGTGTATTTGTCCTAGCAGCCAATTAATGTTGCTGATTTTTAGCTTCTGTTTTCATCGATTACGTTCAGTATACTGAAATTCATGGATTATCCACACAAGTAGGAGACACATATTCACTCGGTCGCTGAACTCTATAAACAGTTCTATAAATACATCGTTCTGTAATCATCTTTTCAATAGTCCAGCACGCCTGCCATTGTTGTGTGCAGAGTTATTTTAAATACAAATCTATTTTAACCATTTGATAAACTTGAAAACAATAGGAGAGATCCCTGCCCCAGCGCTGCCAGTGACAGAACTCTCCTCCCTTCCTTCTCTGGGGCCAGGATTCACCCAGAGTGGTTTTCCAGTACTATTTAAAATCTGTCACTTAAGACTCTGTTCCAGGGAGATCCACACAGCAAACCCACTCCCCATTCCATGTAGGACTGAGTCTACGCCAGGAAGTAACCCCAACATTCATACAGGCAGTGTCATTGGAAACTTCTGTGTGTATAAAATCTAATGCTGACTGCTGCAGGGAAGAAACTCGTGTTTCATATGTGATCCAAAAGGATTTGTTTCTCCCGTTTTTCAAAACGTCCTTTCCTCGCCACACAATTATATTACATCTGGCTTTTGGAATGAGCACAAAACAGGGGCCCAGTTGTGTAAACACATTTCTAGTGAAATATAGGATTGAGCTCAGAATATGGATGTTCAACTCTTTGCTGGGATATGTTGTGCAGGCAGCAGTTATCCTGAGCGTTGTCCGTAGGCTGGCAGGGCGACCTGGTGCTGTCAGCACCGCTGGGCTGGCAGTGAGGAGGGTGAGGGCACACTCCTGCCTGTGCCTCGGGGCAGTTCTTTGGGTCAGCTTGTCCATAGCACGTGCCCAGAGAGCTGGGCAGCTGCACCCTAACCCTGGCACCCCCAGGACTGGGATTGCTTTGAAATGGGTTTGGCTCTCCAGAAAGGCCTTTGCATGGCTTGAAACTAGTATGAAAGTGAGAGGAGAAGGAGGTGGTTGTTGGGTGGCACCTGCTCTGCTGTCCTCCAGTGCCACCCCTTAATGGTGTTAATGATGTGTTCAGTCAGTCCCAGACAGAGCAGCCACGGCCGCAGCTCCCTCGTCATCCTCCAGGCGCGGGGACACCCTCTGCACCTCTCAGCAGTGTTGTGGGCAAAACACAACCAAAACTTCGTGCGATGGGAAGTTTTTCTGTGAGTTAACTTTTTGGGTACGTGAACAATGTGGTACGTACGTCTGTTTGTGAAATAATGCAAAAAAGGGATTTTTACAGGATATAGCATCGACTTTTTAAAGTATATCGCGATTGTTTTATGTGAATAGGAAACTAATGTTTGATTTCTTTTTCCCACGATTCCCAATCTCCATTATTAACGTCTTAATTTTCTGGCTGAAAACTAAGTGTATTAGGCACACAAATTAGCAAATTTGGTTTTGTTGCAATTGGCAAACACTGGGCTGCTAAGAACAAAAACTGTTTAAAAGAATGGATTTTACACCTTGCATATGTTTTCCCTATTAGTTCTTGGAGATGTTTTATGACAATTTTTTGCTTTCTCTAAATTATTTAGATGGTGGTACTTGTAAAATGCTGGGTAAAATGTACATACTTGTTATCTCTTCTGTTTTTGTATATATTTCCCAAGATGTGCACTTGTATTATAATAACCATTCCCAATTTTAGGGGAAATTTGTGCAATAAATACAGTATGTCAATTTACTTCTGGTACCTTTTGTGTCCCTTTTTTATACATGTGGTATGAGAGTGTGGGTGAGTGTATGAACTAGAACCATCTCATGCTTGATGCCTGTCTCACCTGTCTGTTTCGGGCCATGCATCCTGGTACTCAGTGGTGCTGCAGCCATTTAATTTGGGGTCTCTTGAGGAATGAATTGTTTCAAAAAGGAATTTGGGTTTGAACTTGCTGTCCCTTCAGTTGTCAATGTCATTGGCCCCCAGAAAGGGACAGTGAGATGGAAGGGAGGTCCTGACCCTCTCTACCAATGCTCAACTTTGTGTGAGGAGGAGCCAAGCAGAAAGCTGTGGTTTGTACACTGGTTTGTACATTCATTCCTAAAGTGACCTGCAAAGCAGTTTGTCACGAGTGTTTGCAATTCCTCTCCTACAGGTCATTGTATTCATGCCCATCTGCCTGGGTACAATCCCTTTTCTGTCTCTCTGGGCCACTGCACAGGAATGAAGGTTACTGAGGCGTCTTCATAAGGTTCTATTAACTGTAAGTTCAAATTGTGATAACAATGCTGCCAAGAAAAGTGAATTAATGAGCATACAACAGGAAAAAGAATTATCTTAGGAAGATGTAGCAGAGTGTACAAATGAGGCTTTAGAGCATTCGGATTAAATTAGGTCCCAAAGAGGGAAAAAGAACAAGCAGGAGGTAACGACCTTTGCCTGCAGCAGCTGCATCCTCTATTTTTGATAAACTTTCTTCTTGTTTCCTTCCCTGCTATGTACCTTCTCCAGGTGCCCTTGTCACACACGAGGTGAAGGGCTGGCACAGGGATGAGCTGGGGCACAGGCTGAGGGCAGTGTCCCTGAGCCTGCCTTGCCGCTGCTGGGATCACCACGGCCCCACGTGCAGCATGGCTGGATGGCACAGGACTCCTCTAGGATTTCCACTTGCACCTGCCAAGTCCTGTCCTGTAAAAGGATGCCTGTGACCAGAGTGTTTGGTTTCATCTCTTGGAGGAATGAAAGCCCCAACAGCCAACTCACAAGTGCTTAAACTGGCCGTGTAAACCACTGTGAACTTCCCCTGTGAGCAGGGATGAATTGCTCAGACTCTGTGTTCTCCATTCCAAGTAGCACTGTATCAAATAGCTCTGTGTTCCAAGTAGGTGAGTTACCAGCAGAGAACTGACACAGAATCTATTGCCTTTTAATTCAGATAACACAGGGATCCATTGCTGGCCATGATGGATTCCCAAGGCAGGGCCTGCAGTCCCAGCTGCAGTGCCAGAGGTGTGAAGTGGGCAGCCCCAGCAGAATCTGCGGCAAGAGATGCTCAGTTTAGCTGGGAGCAGGTGAGGCTCTGCCATGGGACACTGTCAGACCTCCTGCAGGGCTTCTCAGGCCAAGTGCACCTGACAGAGGGCAGAGAATTTTGTGTTACTGGAGTAGATGGTCATGAGGTGTCCTCCTGACAGGGATGGTGAGGGTAGCTGGAGTCATGTGTCTGTGTGGGTGTTTGGCAGCGACGATGTGAGCAGTAAATTCAGCAGTATAATCACTGCAGCATCCAGAAAACGCTGATGTTAATGCCCAGAATTGATTTCCTTTTTAACTCTCCAGCTAGACTGTGACATAGCACTTGCTAGCCAATATTTTTAATGTATTGTTACTTCTTTTCTGTAATTCCTTTATTTTTTGTGAAACAAAGGGGAAAGCTAATTCCCTTTGATGAGGCTAAAGCAGGAAGGAAGCCACAGGCACCCGAGTACCACAGCGTCTCTCATCCCTTGCATGATTCCCAGGGGTCTGCAGAAGAGCTGATTACTTTCTGTGTGGCTTATTGCAGAGTAACCACAGGAAGATTTCTGGACCCAGGAGTGGGAAGCAGCTTGCTGTGTTGGCTGCACCAATGCACAGAGGTCCTAACAGCTCTCTGC